AGTAAGCAAAAGACCAAACATCTACCAAGGGAAACATTTTCCTCAGACACTAAAACTTTTTCTGCTGGGGTCTATTTCAAGACCTGTATAACACCACAGTATCAAAAACCCCACAAAGTCAGCTGTCACTTTACAACATGGGGTAAAAGCCAAAGCTTGAAAACACTGATTGATAACTAAGAACACCAAAATCTACTAAAAGAAGAATACTCTTGAGCAAAGTCATAGCAAATGGAACCTTGGTACAGACAAAAATCTCATCCTTCCTGAAAAGTTGTGGCAGTTTCTCTGCTATGTATAGATGGGATGGATGGATGTGCAGTCACAGGTATTTATAAGGGAGCAAGGCTTGCAACACAAAGTTTGTCCAGTTCTTCCTGCACTCAATACCATGAAGTGGTTAAAAAGAGGGGTCTTCACACTTTGCAGAGACAGGCACCCTCCAGGTACAGAGTTACAGAGTCTGTGGTCAGTCTCCATCCCTGAGCTCAGACACACAGTAGGTCTTCAGTGGTCCTCCTCTTCTCAGCTCAAGGCTGTGGGTCAAAGCTAAATCTATGCATTTCACAATTAGAAGCATATAATTATGGACGCCTTTATTTGCACTTAGATTTAAAGTAGAAATCTATATTGTATTTGCAAAGAAAAACTCAATAATCTCAAACATTCCTGCCAAGACTCTTCTCAAAATTTACTTAACATTTTATATATAGAATTATTTAAATACTTATATTTTACCCAGTTGCTGGACACCCAGAAAATCTATTTTTAATTGCGCAGCTTGCAAAGACCTCAGAATATAATTTTATGTATTAAATTTAATTGTCAGTTTGTCTACAACACGCAGGTAGTAAAAAAAATGAGACTACTAATTGATCAGCATGTTAACAGCCTCAGCTCTGGGCCACAAATAAGCATTTTCAGCGTGTAGCTGGCCACTGACAAGTGCCACTTCTAATCACTTCGTTAACTTTGAAAGGGAAAATAAACCCCAACAATACAACACTTCAACATGCTGTGTGTGACCTTGATTCTTGCCTTTCACATACTGCAAATACTCTTTTAGCTAGATTCAATCTGTTTTGTATTCACACATTGCTAACAGATTTATTTATGATAGCAGACTTCTAAGAAAACAATTTCAGGTTCTTCTTATTAGACAATTATCATTAGCTACAAAGTATCAGGTGACTACAACTCCTCAGCAAGAGCATTACATGCATATTCCATTTGGTTCAGCATAAATGTCCTTCACTCACACACTCAGCTATAATTACATAAGTTTTAAGGACAAGTTCTCAAAAAATCTGAGGTAAAATAACTCCACAAGCTTTCACATTTTGTGAACGTTGAATCACATTTCAAAATATTTTAGTCTAAGGGAAGCACTGAAGTTTTTTGGGGGTCTGGTTCCTGCATATAGTAACATAAGCAGAACAGGAATTAAGAATGATGTAAAAATGATATATGGAATAAAGTTTGCATTTCCCTGTTTCAGCACCTGCTAAGGACAAAAGCGTTTCTAATACTTTTCTCAAATTACATGCATTGCACTTTATTATTAACCAGCATTTATTGCCTCATTAAGAGGGTTAGAAGATTCCTGTTTGATCTTACCTTAGGGGTAAGATCCTACATTTTTCTGCCGGGCACATCAGAGGATCCTATATTTTTCTGCTGGGCACATTAGAGGATCTTACGTTTTTCTGCTGAGCACCTCATAGCCCATTAATCCCTAGGCACTTTTTAAATTGCCCATGGCATGCACAGGCAGTAAAATTACGTATGTGTAGTGTTCTATAGCTGGAATTAGTCAGTTGCACATGGAAATCTCACCTATTGGTTTTGCTTATATAGCCTATAGTTCCTCTTTCTCCAGTTGTATATCATAAAAAGCAGATATTAACCATGGTGCTTTGATCAGCCCAAGCTAAAGATGTGCATACACCTCTACAGTGCAGACTCTGATCATGGCTTCTACAGGGCCATTGTGACAGGAGTCAGAATTTGTCCCAGCACACGGCTCCATGTAGCAGTAAGCATGAGAGCACTGCTGGAACAATATTAGTACGTGATAGAAAAAATTTAATAAAGAAGAAAGATGCTTTGATTTGTTTCAGTGACCCCTATCATTATTCAGCACAGAGAACTCATCTGCTAAAACATTCAGCAGTACCTGGCCTGTTGATAGCAGCAGATTGCTGCTTTCTGTGCAAAAATGAGACAGCTGTGATTTTTGCTCTGTACCTGCTGCCCACCCCCATTGCACCTGCAACAGCATCACTTCTACTTGTAATGTAAGGATCTAATACACAACTCAGGAAACATTTTCTCTTTAGCTGTTGTAGGTCTGAGCCAGTCAGCTCTCAATCACTTTAAGTAAGATATTTTTGCTGCTAGCTTTGATCTCCCTATTCTTAAGAAAGAAAAATTCAAAGCGCTGACATAAAAAGATTAGATCATATTAAACTGAATCAAAGAAAGTGTCAGCTTTACTACTTACTAGGAAAAGACCAGGAAAGCAATATCCTTACCTAAATTGGTTTTAGACAGATCTAGAAGTTGAGCAGCTCCAGTAAGAGTTTGATTCTGCTTCCAAATGTATGTGATTTCAGACCCCAGTGATTCAAATTTCACAAGGACAAGCAAGCTTAAAAGGCACCCAATTCCTTTGCTGAAAATCATGTTGTATGTCTTTCACTACCCTGGGCAAAATTTATCATCTGTGGTCATGACTGAACCAAACCAGAGAAATAAGTTCTTTCTTTCCAGAAGAAAATAAATCTGTAATTTTGTAAGAAGAAAAATATTCTATAATCAGAAATTTAATATGCAGCCATATTCAAAGAGGTAATTTGTGAGTTTTGACATCCTGTCTACTATCACTCTTCCACTCCCACTGAATTTGTGATACTTTGAATTAAAGTTCAGACCTACTGTTTATTTTGGTCACATCATTCTATTCTATTACTGTATGAGAATAAAGAGAGGGTCTGAAACAGTATGCTCAAAGGTTGGCCAAAGCCCTTCTTTTGACTTGGGCTGTGGAATAGTCCCTTAAAAAATATGACTATCATCTTCTCAGTTTTAGTGTTGAGTATTTCAGTTATTCAATTGATTTCATAACTTTGAGCTTAATTCTAGTTTATTGCTCAGGGTGAAGGGCTTGCTTTCACAGTCAGAGAAATTTCCAGCTGAAATAAAATGAAACTTTTCTAACAAGAACCACAGAAGAGAAGTATTGTTAAAATCCTCAGCTGTGTTTTATTCCAAATCCAGAGGTGTTATGGGATATTTCTTAATGAATTATGAATTCAAGGATTCTTTCATCATTAATGTATAATTGACCTTTTCTGTCCAGACTCCTAGTTTAGTGATTTATTTAGATAAATAAATAAATTAATGAAACAAAAATCTTCAAAATACTTTTGTTGAAACTTGCATACATTAGGAATGCCACAAGTTAAAGAAAGGGAAAATATCCTCTGAGAGAGAATCTGGTGAAATGGCACTCAATTAGATTTTGACCTTCTTTACCTATAAAGGATTGGTAGACAGACATTGTTTGCTACTTGCCTGAATTAAATTGGGTCTCCTGAGATGCATATGAAGCAATTTAAAAAAAGAAAACCACTGTTAACTGAATTTACTCAACCATCAGTCTGAAGCAAACCTTATTTACTGTACTTACCTATTAAACTAATATAATCCTTCATATTTTAATCAGAATAAAGTGACATTTAATTAGTGTTACATAGCTAAGACTTGAAGAAGCTCCCCTATCTGAGCATTCAGCTAGGCTATCATTTTTCAGTCTCACCACAGTGAGTCTTGTGATTTTATGCTTCCCTTGGTCAAAGCGGACTGCAGGACTTTGACCAAGGGAAGCTGTTTTATTAATTCAGCTGCCTGGCACCCTTCCTCAGCAGGAATAAGTGCTCTTTTCACAATTTCATACAAATCACATATTTTGGCTCAACTGCCTTACACTGCAAGGATTGTAACCATCTACTTTCTCAAATCCTTAAATTTCCTACAGTACATTTCATCATTTTTTCAAGAACTTGTGGTGGTTGAGACAGAGATATTAGTTTATAAAAATAAAAAAAACCAACAAACAAACACAAAGCAAATCAATCAGTAATAATAGCAGTGATCTACAGGTCTAGACACACCAACAAAAATAAAAGAAAAAAGCCAAAAGCCCTGTGCACGTGACTGCCATACTTTCCCTTCTACTTTTTTCATTTAAGAGCTAGAGAAATGTTCTTCTGTTGAGTGGTTTCAGACTATGGCTCAGAGATCCTTGGCTATTCCTTGAATGCTCAGTTTCTTCCATCCTGAGGTGCTGAAATTAAGTAAGCTACTTCAATGATGGCATATTTCTGCTTCTGCCCAAATTTCCTGCATCTGCTTTCCTTTTCCTTTCATGTCCACTACTTCTCTCATGCTCTGCTTTGTAAAATCAACTGGTTTTTGTGCTAATTGAGGACCTTAGAAACCTTCCACTCCCACCCTCATGAAGAAATTAAAGATAACTGTTTTCACATCAAATATGGACATCACATTGTGCTGTGGCACTTCTACCAGGGTGGTGGCTGTTGGGGTTTAATGGCTCCTAGGTCCTTGGGGTCTTGAGTAGCTTGGCAGAGTTCTGATATTGTACCAATCCATTCTAAAGATAAAGCACTTTCATAAGCTCACTCGCTCTGACCCATATGCACATGCAGCAAAAGCCTGTAAATATTTAGGATTTTATTTATTTTTCAAGGACCTAATTTCTTCTTTTTAAATAGGCAACCTGAATTCCTGATTTTACAAAAGCATAATGGGCCAAAGCAACATGAACAAATCAAGCCTCAATAAACAGTCTTCTGAGTCAGCTTGCAAAGCATAAAACACCAATATATATATAACTTTAATATTTTATCATTGTACAGCAGGGGATTATAGCAGCAGCTCTGCAATATTGGCTATTTAAAATCAAATTCTCCCATCTCAAAGTGAACTTCCCTCACCACTGCACACCCAAAATCATATTGCAGCAAATAACTTCTAAGTCACTGGTTCTACAATTTCAGCTATTTGACAGTGTAGTTCAATAAAATGGCACGAGATAATTTCATAGAAGCTTCAAAGATTTGTTTTGGATGAGGCAGCCATTTACTAAAAAAAAAATTTCACACATTTTTTTCTCCAAGCAAAACATACAAGGAGTTTTTATCCATTAAATGTTCACTTATTTTGCACAAGTACCAGCTGAAGACTGTGGCCTTGTCTGAAATATCTAGCATCATAATATATTTATTGAGAAGTTTATTGATCACAGTCTCAATTTTTATCTTATTTTCCTTTAACATTCCCATTAAACAGCATTTTGAAATTCTTTTTGAAGAAAAAGGAAACAAAAAAATGAGAAAAACAAACTAGGTCATTAAAAAGGTACTTGAGAATACTTCCTGCAGCAACCCACAGGCTTAGGCTCATTGTCAAGTATGATTTATGAAAACTTGTTAAATTTACTTGAGATAACTGGGAGGCAGACTAGGCTAGTACACTAATAACCTCTTTAACATAAAGCCTTATGGAATACAGTGCATTCTTTATACAATAAAAAGGTTAATTTAGCTTGTCACAACACAGAACTGAATTAACAGGAAAATTGAAAGGCTCTCAATTTGTGCGATTAAATAAAAATGCTGGGTGATAGCCAAGCTATTGCTACCATTCAATTGTTTTTTCTTCCTTATCATGTAAAAATTAGATATTAAGTGTGCATGCAAGAAAGTACTATAGTCAAATGAATGCAGAGCTATCACAAAAAAAAATCTACTACACACTGACATTTCAGATCAGCCTTTTTTTTTTTTTTCCTACATTAATTGGGCTATCTGTATTTTAAAATTCCAGTTAAATTAAGAAAACCTACTTTTTAGCAGATTTTTTGGTCCTCATAATCAGTTTCTTGCTTAACCAAGAACTGGTACCATTCCTAGAGATAAAAACTCACCTCTGGTTTTACTATTTGTTTCTCATACACAAATTGCTCACAGTTGAAAAGTTATTGCATGTAGCTTGTGTGTACATATATGCAAACACACACACACACACACACACTCATATGTTATGTTGAAGCTGTATCCTGTTCTGAGCCTAGACTGGGAGATGATCATGATGAACAACAGGAGATCCTTGTGAAGAATGCGGGACTCCCTGTTGCTGTGTCGCAAAATTAATGAATACCTGCAAGACATGATAAAAAGTAGGATTTTCAAAATAAAAGTAATTGAATTCAGACTTTGGGGATATAGGTGATGGCATTTCTTACCTGCTCTCCTTAGCTTTTTTTGATAAAATAATTAATAACTCAGGTTGAGGGAACTCCTCTAAAAACATGTTTTATAAATTCTAGAAATAACCCCTCTTCCCCTCTCCAGCTAAGACAGGGGTTGATAAATTATAAAAATTATGATAAAATAAGTTACTAGGATTTGAAAAAGGCATTTTATGTACAAGTAAATATGAAACAATGGTTTTAATTGTCTTTGAATGACATACCTAAAGAATCTGAGTCTGTTGTCTCTGCCAATAAATATTACTGAGGAGGGTGCAAATATTTCAAGGTGAAAGCACACTTCTGATTCAAAAATTAATGCACCTCCTTGAATTAGTTTGGGTTTTTTCAAACACAGATCTTACTACATAAAGATTTGTTTCATTTTTAACCACACAAGCATTTCACAGTAAGGCAAGTAGAGGGGAAAATGGCTCTTCTTTATTCAAATGATCCTCTTCATATGCAAGCAAACTTGGGGTGCATTTAAAGTGTGTTTGTGAAGAGCTATTTTCCTGTTTAAAACTGACAGTCAGGGAGAGGAAGAGGTGGTAGGTGACTGAGGTGATGCATCACCATGAAAAATGGAGAGGAAGTAAACCTGAGTGAACAATGCCTGAAGAAACAGGCTGAAATTACCTTACATGCAGTCACTTAGTGAATAGACAATTTACAAGTAGTTAGTAGACCAGCACTGAGGAGAATACTTCAATAATGATTTGCACATGGGAAAAAGGAACAAATTCACCCCATCAATCACAGAAAATTAATATTTTGACTAGATGTGCCTCTCAGTTTGCAGAATGAATAACAAGCAGTTGCCTATGAAGATGATGTGACACACCACAATCACCCAGAAATCCCATGCTTGCCATCAATGTGTTTTTCTTTTTGTCATAATAAGATTTCACAATCTTTAGCAGTTGGGTCTCTTCCATCTATTTGTGAATTTAAAATTCTCACAGGAGAATGTTCTGAAGGTCTAAGGTTTACCATGATTTACAGAGACCAGTTCAGCCTTTTCAAGAGCATTGGTAAGATCCCAATTTTTGGACTGTGGCGGTGGCAGTTTACAGTCCCACCTTGTCATCCCACACAGCTCCAGATTCATCTAAGCATAGATTATGTTTGTGCACACTACAAGTATGTGGCTTGTGATGCCTTTACCTGCTGTGATGCTTTTACTATGCTCACCTCCAGCATAAAAGCAGTATGGGACATGGAATCACTGTGTGACCTGAGATGGCCTGAAAATGCTGGAGTATTGCATACATTTGTGTAACCCAGCAAATGATACAGTATTCTACTACATCAATAACTACAATACACAACATAATTAGGCAAAAAAAAAAATGAGGGAGGGAAAGAGAAGAAAGACAAATGATAAAATACCTGCTCTAATGTAGTTTGGCTAATGGAGTAGTGTTTGATTTGGAGAAAAGTTTTGTGATTCTCTAGGACTCTGAAGAGCTCTGCTAAGCATCCCTGACTTCTTGGTACATGGTACTCAAGCAGGTTAAGATGCTGCCCCTGAAAAAAAGCAAAAATTATGAAAACACATAAAGGTGAATGTACTTTGTCATGAAGCTACACTTGCTTACAATCAGTCTACCTTCAATAGGCTCTTATTGCAGATTAATCTGGAAAATATGAGCTTTTAAAATATAACATATTTTGTCTACATTCATAGAACAAAGAGTAGCTCATACTGAGAGTACAGATTTTGTGAGATGAAATCTTGTTAATCTCATAAAAGATATAAAACTTTAGAAAAATTTGAATCTAACAGAGTAGAGCTGTTACAATGCAGTCTGGGAAAAGGCTGAACATGCACAGACACACAGCTGTCTGAGCACAATACAGACTTTTACCCACAAAGAGGTTCATATCTAAGATAGACATGGTTTCCCATTATTCTTTTCCTATACACAGTTAAAGTAAAAACCTTTGAGAGTGTTTATTGAAATGTAATTGCTATAAGTCTTTTATAAGGCTTTGTATTAAATCAAAGAATCACAGTAAAGGCTGAGACTTATCAACTCTGGGCTTTGAAAGCAATCAAAGCAAATACTCTTAGTGACTACACTGTAGTCCTGCTTCAGGTGAACACAGATTTGAGTTCAACTTCAATAATAAAAGCTAAAGGAAATTTTCAGTCAGAGAAAAGACCTTTTTATTTGCATTGCCTAAATGCCTGTTTGGAGTTGATTCAACCAACATCACAGGTCAAATTTTTATGAATTGCTTAATAGAAAAATGAAAGGTATATTCATATGTACTTTTCCCAAGAAGATAAATATATCCAAAAGTTTAAATATTCAAATATGTACATACTGTTCTTACAAGTTCCAAATTAATCTTGCCATATACTACAACATGGAGTTTTATATGTACCTTAAACTGTGTTCCAGGAAAATGCATTTGTAGACAGTCCAAAATCATTCTTCCGTAACTTATTTCTTTGCTAAGCCAAACCTTGACAGAATAACCCTCTCCAAACCTGGGAATGAGACACGGAAACATAAATTCTTGAGGACACCATGAAGACAAGGAGAACACTTGGTTCAATTGATTTTCCTACAATTATATCAAATATCATGCATTCCTACTGTATATCACTTTGATTTTACTATAATGCTATTGAATGACAGAACTTCAATGAGAAAGTTTTAAAATTATTAATAAAAGAGACAATAAACATGTTATGCCAAATTTTAGTTACTAATGTGTTTCACTACTTAATATACCTGAACTTTTGTTAAGTAAACTATGCTTTAATTGCTAGATTGCTTTGAGTGGTCAGTATAAAACTATGAAGATTACATCACATATACAGAAAAAGAAAAAAAAGTCCTTCAACTTTTCTGATGAGAAAAATGGGTATGTAGCACTATTTTTCAAATCTGTTAACAAAGCTGCACCTTCAAAAGAAGATTTCAGCAATGTGAACACAATGGTGTTTTAAAGATATGCAAAGGCAAGTGCAGGGATATTTAGGGAGATGCCGAAGTTAACAAATTTTCTTTGACTTCTATGACTATTCAATCTCTCTCAGAATAATTTAGGAAATTAACTTCTCTTTCTCAACACAAGTGTGATAAAAGTTAAGTACAGGCAATCTAACCAACACTATCTTTTTTATTAGACTTACTCACTGCTGATGGTTATTTGGGAAAGTTGCAATAAACCAGTGAATATTGAAATGACAGCTATGTTCTTATGCACATTTCTTAAGCAATGGAGGTTGTGTTGCACCAGTCCCCAGAATGGGGTGCACAGACAGAGCTCAGCAGAGACGTGGGACACAAAGGCGCTGTGCTGCACCCTTTCCCTCCTTTGCAGCTACATATCCTACTTCCTTTGGGTTCTCCTTGGTTAATTGCTAGGGAAAAACACCAGCAGGAGCCACAGCAGAAGAGCTTTCCACTGCCACAGCTCTTCCCTGTTGCCAGTGGGCAAGGGAAAGGCAGAGCTGGAAAGGGGGACAGGGAGCTTGGGCAGCACTGCCCATGTCTCCCCAGAAATCTGTGCCTTTCTCTCTCTTTCCACTCACCACTAGTACCTCATCCTTCATTGCAGCATAACTCCCTTTTCTTCCTTCTCCAGTGTGGCAATTGCTCATTGCCAAACCCTTTATTACAGTGGTTTAGTTCCTAGTGATTACCTCTGTAACAAGCCCTTGCGCCAAAACTCTCCTCTCTGGTGCCTTTCCTGTGCACAGATCATGATTCAGGGCAGCAGCTGCCTTAGTTGGGTCTGACTGGTGAGAGGCACATTTTCATGTCATCAAAGCACACTCTACAATGCTGCCCTATATCAATACATTAAAAAATGTCTACAGATTATCAATCAAAAGGTAAAAATGATAGAAAGAACTATTTTGAGATAAATGTCCAGTTTAATCAGTGCATGACTGATTCCCAGCAAAATAGCCCACATGAAACACCACATGTTCCTCATTTGTAATAAGTACACAGCAATGTAAGGGCTTTAACTTTTATTTTTCAGTGGGCCAGAAACTCTGTTGTTATAAAGGAAAAATCGGCATCAATTTAAGAGCAATGCAAGTTTCCACAATGAAAAAAATAGACTGCAGATTTGATTCTATTAAGAATTTCACATGAATTCAAAATACAATTTCCAGGGATCTCAAACAAAAATCCTAACTTTTTATGCAGCACAAAACAGTGGCAGCTTTTGCATAAAAATGAAAAGCTCCATCACAGATAAATGAGCATAGGTTTTTTTAGCCTTTGGTTGATTGTGGGGTTTTTTGTGGGTTGTTTATTTTTGTTGCTGGGTTTTTTCTTTGTTGGTTTAATTTCTTGGAGTAAGAAACACCCTGATGCAGTGTCCTGTCTGTTGGTTCCTGAAGGATGTTTCATGAGCTAAATTGCATTGAGTCCAGAGAGCAAGGTACTAAATATTTACTGGAGAGTGTAGCCTGACAGACAAACAGGGCTGATTCATCAGAGATCCAGAATTAGGTGGAATCCAAAGCAGTGTCTGGCAGATTTGCTGTGCAATGATTTACTATGCTTTAAATAGATCTCTAATTAAATGTTTTAAATGCATAGCATCATCCCTGAAAAAATACATGTGACAATAAAAAAAGTTGTTACAAAGATGGATATAGCTAACAAGGGTATTCAATTTAGTTGACAGCTAACCTGAGGCAACATTTTACAAGAGATCATTGATTCTGATCAGTTTTTTTGGCATTTCTATACAACGACCATTGAATTACAGTTTGAAAAATGCTGGTTTATGGAGACATTCAACAGTCTCATAAAATGAAATTGCGGTATGCAATGAAGTTTCCAAAGAAAATGAATCAAAATTCTGATTAGCAAAGACAGAGGAGTCTGTGCAACTTTGGTTTAGTTCTAAATTGTAAACGGCATAAGTGCCAGCATAGCACCAATAAAAAAACATTAAAAGATTTTCATCTTTTGGCTAGTTGAGTTATGATGCTTCTATACCTTGATTTTATACTTCGTTTTAGTATGAGAGCTCCCCATATAGAGTGAGCTGATCAGCAATAAACACTTCCCCCCGCTATAATCAGTAAGCTGCTTTTGGCAGCGCACTGAGGAAATGGAAACTGAGCTGACCATTTTGTTCACTCTGTTTTGCTCTCTGATTCAGACAGTTCAATTAATTCAGAAACACAAAGTGGAATTACAGAGGAAACCACAATCTGGTTTGATTAGCACTGTTAGCAAACCTTTAGCACCTGAGAGCTCAAGGCCTAAAGAGGAAGACATAATCATTAGAATGGCCTAAGTTGAGCCTGCAGATTCATTCAGCAGCCATCTGCTGCAAAAGATTCTTCATTTCTTCAAAGCTATTCAACAGAAAACGCATCATGCACTGCCATGTTATTTTAACTACACCTGCACTTCTATTTTTATATAAACAAACACACAAAACCACATGTTCAAACAAAATGAAATATTTTTCTTCTCTCTATCTTTCCAATTCTTCCTCAGTCAAACTCCTAGTTGATGCTCGACTTTCGCCTCATTAGTGGTTCTGGGAGCACAACTTGAGTGTTTTTTTCTGTTAAAATGCCAACATGAGACTGAAGCTAAAATATAAATTCTCAAATTGACTGTAAACTAATTAACTTGGCTATTTAAAGGCAGCATCAGCTACAGAAGCAGGAGCTTAGCAAAAACTACAAGTCCACACTTCTAATTTATATAGGTCCTCAAGGTATCTGAGCACTCAGATAACAAGGGAGCAAAAAGAAAATAAAAAGGTCACAAGAAATGGAAATATTTCCATGCCAGGAATTACTAAATAGGCTAAAACTTTTCATCATGAAAGAAAGATGACAAGGCAGTCAAAAGGTATTTTTAGGGAGCCCAGAACCATGACTAAGCAATGAAAATAAGAAATAACTCTTCACTCATATGTTTCTCATGCAAGAGCAAGGATCATAGTGTTAAATTATAGGAAAAGATACACCAAGTCAGTAAGATGAAGCGATCTTCCTTACACTATGTAGGGAAACTGTACAACTCATTGACATAGGATGTGCTAGATGTCAGAACTTGACAGGAGTAGAATAAGAGACCAGAAAAACTCATGGCGAGGATCCACTAAAATCACTTCTGACTTAAGAACTGTCTAAAAAAGGAACTGCTGAAGGCAGTTGAGTAATGTGGTAAAGTAACTTCATGTGCTTATCTTGTTCCTGTACTTTTCCCCCTTGATCACTTTCAGAGACAGATTACTGTGCTAGCTGGTGTATAATCTGATCTCAGGCTTCTTTTGGTATAAATATCCCCAAGAGGAGGTCAGCCTGGGTAAATCACCTGAATGGTTCCTCGGTTCTTGGAAGTTTTGCAACACAGCCCCACTACCAGCAGTACAAAAATAGTTTATGTAAATCGACTTCAGATATGTATCTACACAATCTCCAGTCACACACTGAAATAAAGTGCAACCAAATCTATACTGAGGGAGTCCCATGGATGCTTTCCTGATCCTCTTTTAACCTTGCAGTGGTAATGGAAGTGGATTTAGTGACCCAAAGGCTGAAAATTCTCACAAATATCAAGGAAAGGAGCTGCCACATGGAGCAGGGTAGCTTCTCCATGTTCCCTTCTGCCCATTCCTTGGGGGTCCTGGTTCACAGGTTTGCATGGGACAAGAGTCCCTGTTGAAACACAGCTGAGCCTGCATTTGGTCACAAGGAGTCCCTAGAAGAATTAACCCAATAGATTTTCTTAAGCTTGACCCATGAAAACCTGTTTTGTGTGAAAGTACATTATCATCAGATTTCTATTTTCTTAAAAAATAAAAAAATCTATATTTTCATTTAAAAAGCTTGTTCAAATGAACAAAACCAAACTTTGAAACCACTTTTTTAAGTTACAGTAGGTCCAGCATAATCAGCTCATCAAATCACACTCTTCCCAAAGCCTATTTACCAACTCTTCTATCCCCCAGTAAAATTTACTGAATGTAAATTCAGGAAATAAAGAACATGGCCCCATTTCCTAAACTTTGAGGAATAAGAAGAGCATCTAATCACCCATAAGCTTTTCTTCCCCACTAATCAAAGACTACATTTCCTGGACAATGTTGTGCTATATTTATACATATATTCACAGCAAAAAATTTCAGCTCGCAGAAAGTTTACTGATTGAAATATAATGTGCATACTTTGTGTATGCACTAGTTCAATCAAAGGACTGCTTCAAAATAACATTATTGGATGAAAAAATAAAAATAGTAAAGAGAACATTGGCACTTAGTGTCTGCAAGGAACTGCATCTTTTAGAATATGTGCCATAAATCAAAGAGAGGGAATAACATTCTACTGTGCTGTTTATCCCTCTGCTTTGGTTTACACTCATTTGCAGGCAGATATGGTTCTACTTCCCCTAAGTGAATAGAATCACGGAATCGTTTAAGCTAAAATAAGCCTCATCTAGGCAAGGTAACTTAGTTACACCAGTATAATTGCTGAAGCATGGGATACACATC